AGTATTCCTTTATATGTGGTTCAGAGTTCTGGGACCATCCCCTGAGCCTGCTTGGTCGGGTATTCTGTGTTGTTGTTGGCAGAGCTCTTTGCTACACGTCCACCCGATCCGCCATCTTGTTTGTTCTCTCCTTCCATTTGCTTTAGCATCTCTATGCTGTAGAGCAAGTTTCAGAGTCTCTTCTGACATCCATTTTGGTCTTTCTTTCTTGTCTTCGTACTGATCTTTTGCTTTCTTCCTATATGATGTTCTTGATGTCATCCCACAACTCCTCTGGTCTTCTGACAGAGAACTGCCAGGGGTTCAAGCTAGATTCAGACAAGGACATGTAATGAGGGATATCACTGCTGATGTCAGATGGATCTTGGCTAAAAGCAGAGAATACCAGAAAGATGTTTACCTGTGCTTTATTGACTATGCAAAGACTTTCGAGTATGTGGGTCATGACAAACTATGGACAACATTGTGGAGAATAAGTATTCTGAAACAATTGTGCTCATAAGGAACCTGTACATAGATCAAAAAGCATTTGTATTATTATGGTCCATTCTATTTTGAGGAGGCATCTCTTCCCCAGGCGTATTTTGGGTGCCTTTCAACCTGAGGGGCTTATTTTCTGGCACTATGTTTGATAATTCTCTGCTACGTTTACAAGGTTTTCAGTGGCTAATCATTCAGAAGTAATCCACCTCTCCCTCTTCCAAGTCTGTCTTTGTCTAGAAGCCCAGCTGAAACGTGTCCACCATGGGTGACCCTGCTGGTATTTAAAATACTGGTGACATAGCTTCCAACATCACAGCAACACACATACTACCATGGTATGACAAATTTACAGACATTAATTAGTGTAGTCTTAATCCCTTGGGTGATGCAAACAATTTGTGATCGTCCACTCCCTAAAGGGTGACAGTTCAAACCCACCCAGTGGCACTGTGGAAAAAAGTCCTGGTGATCTGCTTTAATAAAGAGTATAGCCACATAAACCCTATGAAGCACAGCCCTACTTTGTAACCTGTGGGTTCACTGTGAGTTGGAATTGGCTCCAGGACAACAGGTTCTAGCGTAGCCTTGGCCCTTATTAACTTTGTGGATTATTTTGCCAGGTTGAACAGATAAAATAATAATGCTGCAAGCCTTCTGTCTTGTGTTGCTTCCGAGTGCTCTGTCTCCCATTCTGCATATATACCCATGATTTTTTTTTGTTTTTTACTCAAACATAGTAGTTTGAATTTGCTCCTATTAAACACTGCCTTGTTAAGAGGTTTGTGATGGAGATGGGGATGTTTGTGTCACTCTTGAGGCATCAGTGTGACATTTCCATACTTTATAAAGGGGAGAAATGAAGAAAATGGACTGAAGTTGTAAGGAAGAGAGAGGGTTGTTTAGAAAGAGGGTAGAAGGATCATGAAATCTTTCATAGTAAGGAAGATCTGTGAATGAGTGTTATCAACCAGCATGGCAGAAGACAAGTTATATTATGGATAAGGATTAGTGAAAATGAGACTGTGAACTTGATAAACCAAGTTAGCGCTGGTGTCTGGAGAGTGATTAAAAGAAAAAGCCCAGCTAAATCTTAGGGTATTACTTTAAGACATTTTTTCTAATTCTTGCTCTATATTTGTCACTTCATAGCCAGCTGAATAATCTTGCAGTGGCTGCATTCTCCCTAAATTACCCTCTAGCGAGGGCCTACTTTCTTAGAAAAGAGATCAGATGATAAAATTTTGTGTACATATATACTTGTATACATGGGTATTGCAAAGCACAGTTGAGTTACTATCCTGAGTGTTTTTATTCTTTGAAATAAATAAATGGTGTGGCACTCACTGTCAGATAAAACTGGACCACAGTCTTCTTGGAAACCATCTACAGGGTTTCTAGGAGATGGAACCAACTTGATGGCACTTAACAACATTGGTATACACAAACATATACAGTCATGTGACACATTACGTACGTTTGGGCAACATCCGACCCCATATACACCCATGGTCCCATAAGCCTATCCTGACCAGCATCCTGATCAGAAACTTGACATAGTGGATGTAACTGGACATAATGAACATAACAGCTTCCCTTGTACAACACGTCTATCTCATGTCTCTTGTATGCAGAGTGAATGTGCTGCCAGGTGTATAACTGTATAGTGTATATACACTGTGATATGGTATTTACACAACACCTAAATCACAAAGGTCTGATTTCAGCGTTCTGCAGACATAAGTGACTCATAAATGTGTATGTGTCGACACACTTATCTAATCCCTTATTGTACTTTCTCTTACACATACATAGAAAAGTTAACATGTACAGGCTATACTTATAATGTTCCACGTAAATGGCACAGTTAAGATGATTTGAGGAAGGTTGAAAATATCCTCAAACCTCTTCACTGAGATACTGAAGCTCAGTACACTGCGCAGCAGCAAGCTAGAGGTGTTAAGAGCAATCAGACTGACGTTAATGCATCTGGCAAACCAATTTTGCCTCCACTCTAGTGCTAGCTACAAAGGGGGCTTCAAAAAGTTCGTGGGAAAAAATTCCATTTTTCATTTTCCACAAACTTTTTGAAGTCGCCTTCATTTGTTACTAGTCTTGAGAATTATTTAAAAAAAAAAAAAAAAAAAGCAATTCACATTTTGAAACAGGCTTACTCCCTGTTTAGCAAGAGACCTGATGTTCTTGCATCTCTTATCTTGCAGGCCTTTGCACAGTTTGATGCTGAGGGTGATGGCACAGTTGATGCTGAGAACATGTTGGAGGCCCTGAAGAATTCCAGTGGAGCTAATCTTCAGGGGGAGCTGAGCCACATCATCAGACAACTGCAGGCTTGTTCTCTTGTTCCAGGTAACAGTTCCTGAGGCTGAAGAATGCTCTCATAGGACTAAAATGAACTTTGCTATGCTTTGTGTTGTAATTCGGTTGTAAGCTGTGGGCACCATGAAATAAACTGTTCTACTCAAAAGTATTCATTAGGCACATGTTCGGAATTAGTGTTCAGTATAACCATCTCTTTTGATCCCTAATGGCTGAGGAGTTCTACCATTTTGAATCAACTTTTGTCATGAGACAACCTTGCTTGTTGTTGTTAAGTGCTGTTGAGTTGTTCTGACCCATAGCGACCCTGCATAGGGTTTCTGAGAAGTAGCTGGTAGATTTGAACTGCTGACTTTGCAGTACAGTGCATTATCTTGAAGCACCACACCAGGACTCCTTATGTCTCTCTCTCTAGAAGCCTTTCCTGGCCCCTATTTTACTTTCTCTTAGCATCCTGCATTTCTTTCTTTATAGTGTATTAACTTATAATTCATTGATTTCTCATGTAGTTATTTATTAAGTGTCTGTCTTCATTTCTGTGATGTGAGCTTTGTGAGGAAAGATCTTCTCTCTCATTTCTGCTCATCTGGTACATTTCTTGGTATATGGGTAGGCACCCAGTCGATATTTATTTACTTTTTAAATCAAACTTCCCTTTGAGACTTAAATAACAATAAAAATAGCCTAAAATTAAGCAGTACTTCTTCAGAGGCAGTTCCTGAGTTGCAAATGGAATTCGTTCCTAAGTGTATCCTAAAGTCTGATCTGTAGGTAAGTTGGGACAGGTGCATACAGTTCTCATTCAGCATGACTTTAGGACAAGAATAGAGTCAAAGCTGCATGTGCAGCAACAGCCCGTGGTAATTGTGATGAAGAATTTGTTGTGGCTAAGAGTTGGTTTAATATTATGTAAATTTGCCCTCATTTCAAAGTGAAGGCAAATGACATATGATTAAAGGTCAGTTAGGACTTTTCCATAGAGTCCTGGTCAGCAGTTCAAATCCAACAGTGGCTCCGTGGGAGAAAGCTGAGGCTTTCTGCTCTGTAAAGATTTACAGCCTCAGAAACCCTATACAGGGTGGCTATGAGTCAGAACCAACTCCGCATGCAACAGCAGCAGAAGTTGTCCAGAATCTGGACACTTAAAACCCCCAGGGTGTTATTGTACCACATACAACGCACAGATGAAAAACCTTAACCTGGAATGCAGGGTTGGTGGTTCAAGCTCACCAGGCACTCCTCAGAAAAACCTATATAGAGTCACTATGAGTTGTAACCAACATGACAGCACTTAACAGTGTTTTTATATGATTTCTTTTGGGGGCTCAGCTTACGTAAAGACAGAACCATGATAAATTTGGACTTTTTTTGTTATAACTTGAAAAAAAACACCACTGCATATCACCCTATGAGTGTCGCTTTATCTTACCTGAGAACTTTCCTGGTTCTGTACACTCAGGTCATAACACTTAGCACAGCTAGCACAGCACTGGAGCTCAAATGGGCTTGCCAGACACATCAGCGTCAGACTGATTGCTCTTGCTGCCTCCGGCTTGCTGCTTGAATGGTGTTCTGAGCTGGGGAGGGGAGCTTCTGTATCTTAGCCAAGAAGGTCCAAGGATATTTTCATTTTTCCTCAAATCGTTGTAACTGTGCCATTTACATGGAACATTATAGGTAGTTCATACATGTTAACTTTTTTCCTACCCTCATGGCAATTAAAAGTATGCTTTAAATTATGTTTAAGTAACATAGATCTTGGAGTTTAAATATGACTCCCACCTTTGCATTACCAGATTTGCATTACATCCGCAGGGGCTGATGCACCCAAGATTGACAGGTCAGATGGCAGGCTTGTGGCTGCAGAGGTGAATGAATCCAAGGTTGGCAGTAAGATGGCAGGTTGTTGATGTCTCCTGGGATTGGCAGGCAGTATGATAGGACACTGACTCAAGTTGAAAAGGCCCACGGGTCAGATGAGGAGCTAGACCCAACAAAAAGCAAGCCAGCTTCTCCACAGTGCTCACATAGATTGAAAGCAGGCCCCACCCCTGAGGAAACTTTCTTTTCTTCATAGCAGGCTGCTCGCAGCTGACCTCATCATGGGGGATTACCATATCTTAACTACCAAGCCACTGAGAGCCCTGGCCCTGCTAAACTGACACAACCCTTAACTGCCGTATGTTGTGTTGTTATTTAGTGCTGTTAAGTCAGTTCTGACTCATAGCAACTATGCTGGTAGTTTTGAACTGCTGGCCTTTTGTAGTAGTACAGTGCTTATCCACACTATCATAGGGGGCCATTATAGGAAGCATAGCCAAGATGGGCTTCTTCAAGTGAAAATTTTTTTCTCAGCCTCATGTTTTATCTTCAAAATTAATGCAGGCTTTCATTTTGCTCTATGAGATATGTTTATTATTGAAAGCAGTTTCCCCGAGGGGCTTCTGGAGTCTTGACCTAGGTGTTGCTTACACGGTTGTATTCGCTTTGTGAAAATCCATGCTGCTGTGCAATTATAGTGTATTCACTTTTCATTATGTATACTAAGTTTAAAGAAAAAAATTCCCCAGATCTCCAAATATTTCTGAGCGCCAGGAAAATATGTCACGTATGTCTTCTTCCAGCAGCCCTTGGAGATAGGAGCACCTCAGTTTGAGACATATGCTAAACAGGGGTAGACATGGTCTGCTGTATGTTTTTGAAAGGTTGTTCAGATTAATGGTGCATGGGGAGCCACAGAGGTGTCTGGGAGATGGCCAGGTGAGGCTGACTCTGGAGGCATCACCCTGGGGAGAAAGAATTGGAATGAGGCAAGGAGTGTTTGGAGGGAGGTACTAGGAGGGTACCTGTTCCTGTCCCTTCTTTGTTGACCTGTCATTTTCCTACATTATAAGAAAAAGGATACCTGTACCTTTGGGTGCCTACCCGCCTCACCTTGCTGTGAGAACAAAGTGAGATAATGTATGTGAAGGCCTCTTGTCAACTGTAAAATGCCACTGGAAATTGATGGTATAAAGGTAGTGGCTATATTATTGTTGGAGTTCTGGTGTGGTGCTGTAGGATAAACACTAGACCACAAGGTTGATTTAAACCAAAAAGTCACTCCTTGGAAACCTTATACAGGGTTAAAATGAGGTGGAACCATCTTGATTGCACTTAACAACAACATATTATTATTATCATTGTTTCACGGAGCTTAGTATAAAAGCAGTTATGCTGTTTATCTTTAATGCAACAAACTAATTCCTAGCTTATATTCTGTGTAAGACGTTGAAAATTTGTAAACAGTATTTTTTTTTATCTACCACTCCCCTCCTTTTGTTACAAAATGTCTACCTTTACATTTGCAACATTCACAATCCTTCCTGATAGCAATTATTCACTATTGAACCATAAGAGTCTTATCCCCATCTCCTTTCACCAGTCCCATCTAGACAGGTTGGAGACCACTCAGTGGAGATTCTACTTTCCCCACACCCTCTGAAACTTAGCTGTGTCCCATATAGTTTTGTTTTTTTTTTTAATTTAAGGTTTTTATTGTGGATTGAGTGAAAGTTTACAGGGCACATCATCAGTTTCACATTCAACAATTCATATAACTTGTTTCATTACATTGATTATACCATCAGTTAAAAGTATTTTTCTTTATCCACTTTAGCTTTTTTTTAAAAAACCCACTCAGGCATATATAATAAATTACATCTCCAAACTGCACATTCTGCAAGTCTGCTCCTGGCCACCAGTTCTTAGTCCTTCTCTTCTTAGTTGATGAATCTAGAGTCCTCCATGTCCCCATCTCTACCTCCATCTCTGGTGCTGCTGCTTCTCTGGATAAGGTCCCACATTCTATTTGTGTGTTCCTCTCTTGATGGTCCTAGGGTCCTCTGTTTCTGGACTGTAAGATTAATCACTGCCCTTTTTTTTGTTACAAAACATCTACCTTTACAATTGTAACAGTCGCGTTGTAATCAGTATTTAAGTGCTTATAAATTTTAAAGATCTGATTGAAGCAGTCATTATCCTAAGTCTTTGAGACTCCTATTCAACTCAAATTAAAACATTTTAAATTGAGATAGCCACAAGCTCATGTCTTTAAAGCTTACTTAGATTTTTAAATGATTAAACTGAAAGTACCTGTGAAGATTGTCAATGACTGCTTTTAATTCAGCTACTTCAGATAAGCCACCAGGCAGAGGATATGTAAATTATTGTGGTATGTTCCCTAAGATATCAAAAATGGATTTTGTCTCCTTAGGTTTCATAGACATATTTTCAGAGTCCAAAGAGGGCCTGGGTGTTCACTCTTCCATGATCCTGCGCTTCCTGCATCGCAACCGCATCTCTAGCACAGTGATCCCCTACCCGATGCTGGACCACTGCAATAACATGAGCTCCATGAGGTCGTCTGTTCTAAAGGAGTCACTGGATCAACTTATACAAAAAGAAAAGGGTATGCGATGACTTTGCTTGTTTTTTTCCCCCTGAAAATACTCATTTCTTTTTCTAAATAATAGTCTTTATTAATAGGATGAAGTAATCCTCTTTATTTCTGAAATACCATTGTGATCTGTTTGTAGCGTAAGACTGAGTCTCCGTGACTCCTACCACCACTACCTGCTACACACACGTAGCACAGTACTTTCATTTTTAAGCAACTGGTTTATCATCAATCACGTCTGTGCCTAGTTGTGACTTCAGGGAGCCCTCTCTTGATCACGCTATCTAATGCTGCATCACCATTTCCCACCTCCTGATCACTGCCACCTTTGCAGGTTTCATATTCTAAATAGTTTTTATCACCATCTGATGAAGTGCTGTGTTATTAATTGACTTGCATGTTGTCTGTCTCCCCCCTTAAGCGCATGGCTTTTGTCTTGTTCACTTCCTTAGCCTTAGCACCTTGACTGTGCTTATTAGCACATGGTAGATACTCAATAGGTCTACCACTACAGACTGACATAGTGATGGCAACAGAAATGAATACTGTAAGGAGACAGCTCTCTGGAAGATAATAGAATCCAGAAATAGACCCAAGTACATGTGCACATATAGTACCAGATCAAGTCAGCATTACAAACCAGGAAGGAAAGGTGAATGCTTCTACAAGTGGGGTTAGGAAAACTAGTTAGTTATTTAGAAAACAAATAAAACTAAATTATTACCCCTTTCCATTCATGTAAGTTTCGCATGGCTCAAAAAGTTCAACTAAATAGGAAGCTGTAGGTTCTAGTTATTGTTAGGTGCCATTGAGTCAATTCTGACTCATAGCAACCCTAGGTAACAGAATAAAACACTGTCCAGTCCTGCACTGTCCTCACACTTGTTATGTTTGAGCCCATTGCAGCTGCCACTGTGTCTCTTTACCAAGCATGACATCCTTCTCCAGAGACTGGTCTTTCCTGACAACACATCTAAAGTACAGCAGACAGATTCTCACTATCTTTGCTTCTAAAGAACAATTTGCCTGTACTTGTTTCAGAATAGGTTTGTTCATTCTTCTGGCAATCCATGGTACTTTTAATATTTTTCTCCAATACCATAATCCAAATGCATTGATTTCTTCTGCAGTCTTTCTTATTCATTGTCTAGCTTTGACATGCATATGAGACAATTGAAAATACCATGGCTTGGGTCAGGTGAACCTTTAGTCTTCAAAGTGCCATCTTTGTTCTGTAACACTTAAAGATGTCTTTGGCAGCAGATTGGCCTGATACAATACGTCACTTGGCTTCTTGACTGCTGCTTCCATGATGACTGTGTATTTAAAATGAAATCTTTGAGAACTTCAATCTTTGTTTTTCATGAAGTTGTTTATCAGGCCAGTTGTGAGTAGTTTTATTTTCTTTACATTTGAGGCGCAATTCATACTGAAGGCTGTATTCTTTGATCTTCATCAGTAAGTGCTTCAAGTTCTGTTCGCTTCCAACAAACAAGGGTGTGTCAGCTGCAGTTCGTACTTTATTAATAAGTCTTTCTCCAATCTTGATTACATGTTCTTCTTCATATAATCCAGCTTCTCAGATTACTTGCTCAGCATATATATTGAATGTATATGGTGAAAGGATACAACCCCGATGCATACCTTTCCTGATTGTAAACCACACAGCATTTCCTTGTTCTGTTTGAGTGATTGCTTCTTTTTTTTTTTTCCCCCCAGGTTCTTTATTTTATTAACTCATATGATCCTTACATTCACTTTCTGAGACTGGTGTTATCCCCTTTTTTTCAAAAAAATGTTTTATTGTGAATTATGTAATAGTTTACATGGGAGAATATTAGCTTTACATCCATCCTATCATGTATCGTTTCATTGCCCCATGGTTACAATCCCCTCTATGCATCGTCAGCCAACCACAGGGTATACGCTGCAAGCCTGCCCTCCGGTTGTCAACACACAGTCCCTCTCCCTCTCTGTGTCTAAAGTCCCCAGCTGCTCCATCTCTCCCTCTCTGTGTCTAAAGTCCCCAGCTGCTCCATCTCTCCCTCTCTGTGTCTA